CCGCACCACAGGAGCTCTTCAGGAATTCCCTCAGAGCCCAACTGCCACCACCAGCTTCCTGGGAGCCTCTCAACCCCCACTCCTCCCGCTCTTGAGGCTGATTGGCTGGGTCCATGGGCGGAGCCCAAAGAGTCCCTCAATGAGCAGCTCCGAGGTCTGAAAGGGCGGGGAAACAACCCAATGAGCATTGCCGAAGAGGAGCCAATCAGCTGGCAGCTGGAAGTTTGCTGGGGCCGTGGTGAGCCAATCAGCTGGAAGTTTGCTGGGGCTGCTTTTGCTGTGGCTCTCAACATTCCACAAAGTAGAAAAAGTGACCTTTATAATTATTTTTAAACATGTTACTCTTGTATATACACCTTAGGTTTAGAGTAAGAATAATACAAAATCTTTAGCAGTGAGTTCTCATCCTGACCAAAATGCTGTCAGAGGAATTGGATTTACACTTCCCGCTGGAATAACCAATAAACTAGACAAATATATAACATAATGTTTTTAATTCATTGAACTTTAAGCCCAGGATCCTTAGGGTGGAAAGAAATGAGGTGACTCCTCAGATGGCACCAGTCAGCCTCCTGGAGAGTGTCCAGGTAGAAAGCACAGGAAAGGAGACCTGAGCAGAGTCTCCATAGTCGCCATCAAGGGAGGACAGGGTAATAGAGTTCACAGGACAAAGTGGCAGACCTCTCAGGAGATCTGCAGAGCAGTTCCCTCTAGTCTTCAGCGGGATGATGATCACCAGGTGTGTGCCAAGAAACTGCATGGGGCCAAGAGAAGACACACAGTGGAGCACGCTGAAAATGTTTTAAGGTCCTCACAGGAAACTGAAAATGTTTTAAGGCCACATTATTTAGAGTGGAAAGAGTAGAAAGCATCAAAAGGCACAGCATGTGGAAAAGTGTTCAGAAGAGCCTTGTCTCTGAAGTGGATTAAAATTGGACCTAGCCCAAAGACTGTTTTGGTGAGATTTAGCAAAGATTCAAAGCCAATCTTAAATAAATAATTTTTTTAATTAGCTACTTCAAGTAATTTAATTTAATTTAAGTGCTTTAAAGGACAGATGAAACTCATTTGTGGAAATTACAAAACTATCCAAAGACCAACAAAATAACCAATGAGTATGACCAGTGCCTGGTATCCAAAGAAGCAGGAAAGTATCATTCATAATCTGAAAAAAAAAAATCAGTCATATAAACAGAAGACCCAAACTATAAACAAGTTTATTAAATCAGTTATCCTATATGTTCAAGAAAGTAGGAGAGTTTATTTAGCAAATCCAAGGAAGAAGTGAAGAAAACAATGCAAGTATGTTTCTAAAGATAAAAGATCACTATGATTGAAAAGGAAAGTGTACCATATGGTGCTAACAGCCAATTAAATGCTGCAGAAAAAAAGATATGCAAATTTGGAGACACTGTATTATAAATAAATAGAAGTAAAATACAGAGCAAAAATACAAAAAAGGGAATGGAGAAAACATCAGTGAGTTGTGAGACAACTTCACACAGACTGGAATGGTGATGCTGAGATGCAAATATTTGAAAAAGCAGCAGTTAGAAGTTTTTCAAATTTGATAAAATCTCTAATTCCAGAGATCTATGGATCATTTTTCTAAAAGATTTCTGAGAATTTTCTCTATTTTAAACTTTTATTTGTTGTTTTTAGTTATTCATGACAGTAGAATGTATTTTTACAAATTATACATACATAACATATAACTTATTCTATTTAGGATCCCATTCTTGTGATTGTTACTGAGTTACCCTGGTCATGTATACAAATATAAGGCTAGGAAAATTTTATTTTATTAATTCTGCTGTCTTCCTATTTTCCTTCTCCCACACTTCCCTTTTTTTCCCTTTGTCTTATCCAATGGATTTCTATTATTCCCCTCTCCAACAGAGAGAACATTCAGCCATTGGTTTTTTTGAAATTGGGTTATTTCAGTTAGCACAGTACTCTTCAGCTCCATCCATTTACTGCTAAATGCCATTATTTCATTCTTACTTATGATTGAGTAATATTCCATTGTGTATCTATATTACATTTTCTTTATTCATTCATCCATTGAAGGACACCTAGGTTGTTTCCATAGCTTGAATATTGTGAGTAGAGCTGAAATAAACATTGATGTTGCTGCATCAGTATGCTGTTTTAAGGTCCTTTAGGTATAAAATGAAGAGTGGGATAACTGCATCAAATGGTAGTTCCATTACAAGTTTTCTAAGAAATCTCCATACTGCTTTCTATAGTAGTTGCACCAATTTGCAATCCCACCAACAATGTATGAGAGCACCCTTTCTTCCTACATCCTTGCCAACATTTTTTGTTACTTGTATTCTTTATACTTGCCATTCTGACTTGAGTGTAATTTTAATTTGCATTTCTCTAATTGCTATATATCTTGAACAATTTTTCATATATTTTTGACTATTCATATTCTTCTTCTGTGAAATGTTTGTTCAGTCCCTTTGCCCATTTATTGATTGGTTATTTATTTTTCTGGCGTTAAGTTTTTTGAGTTTTCTGTATATCCTGGAAATTAATGCCTTACCTGAGGTACTAGTGGTGAAGATTTTTCCCTATTCTGTAGGATCTCTGTTCATGTTCTTAATTGTTTCATTTGCTGTGAATAAACTTTTCAGTTTGATACCATTCCATTCATTGATTCTTGATTTTACTTCCTGCGCTTTAGGAGTCATATTGAGGAAGTCTGTACCTAAGCCAACATGATAAAGAGTTGGGCTTAATTTTTCTTCTAGAAGGCATAGGATCTCTGGTCTAATGCCTAGGTCCTTGATCCACTTAGAGTTGAGTTTTTTGCAGGGTGAGATATAGAAGTTCAATTTCATTCTGTTACATATGGATTTCCAATTTTCCTAGCAACATATGTTGAAGAGTCTATCTTTTCTCCAATGTATGTTTATGGTGCCTTTGTCTAGGATTAGATAACTGTATTTATGTGGGTGTGTCTTAGTGTCTTCTGTTCCATTGGTCTTCATGTCAGTTTTAGTGCCAATACCATGCTGTCTTTGTCACTATAGCTCTGAAGTATACTTTAAGGTTTGGTATTGTGATGCCTCCTGTATCACTTTCACAGTAAGTATAGTAAGAACATACCTTAACATTGTAAAAGTTATGTATACTACACCCAAGGCCAACATCATTCTAAATGGAGAAAAACTGAAAGCATTCCCTCTAAAAACTGGAACAAAACAGGGATGCCCTTTTTTTTACCACTCCTATTCAACACAGTCCTTGAAACTCTAGCCTGACCAATCACACAAAAGGAAGAAATTAAAGGGATACAGTTAGAAAAAGAAGAACTCAAACCATCCTTATTTGTGGATGACATGATTTTATATTTAGAATACCCAAAAATCTCTATTAGAAAGCTTATAGCACTCATAAACAAACTCAGCAAAGTAGCAGGGTTTAAAATCAACACCAATAAATCAATTGTATTTCTGTAAACCAAGGATGAAAGAGAAATCAGGAAAACTTTCACCTTGACAATAGCCTCAAAAAAATTTATTTGGGAATCAACCTAACAAAAGAAGTGAAAGACCTCTATAATAAAAACTACAGAAACTAAAGAAAGAAATTGAAGAGGAAATCAGAAAATAAAAAGATATCCTGTGTTCCTAGATGGGCAGAATCAATGTTGTCAAAATGGACATACTATCAAAATCACTATACAGATTTAATAAAATTCCTATAAAGGTAATGAAATTTCTATAAAGATTCAATGACATTCTTCACAGAAATAGAAAAAGCAATCATGAAATTCATTTGGAAAAATGAGATCTATGGATCTTAATGGATCCTGAATACAAGAAACATGGAATTCTTTATGATATCCTGTAAAAAAAACCCTTAAGATCCACCTTTGCATTTGAATTTAAACATTACTCTTTAAAAAAGAGAAAAAAAAAAAACAAGAAAAAAAAAGCACATTTGTTCTTATTTTCTTTCTTCTGTACTACTACCTTGGAACACCTATTGTCCCTTTATGTACCTCTCAGTACCTCAGTACCTTTTAATGACTCAGAGGACCAAGTCCTCTGTGAAGCCTGATCATGAGCACCTCTTCTCTGCCATTTCCCCACATTAATTTCAGCTGAATATATGTGAATATGCTCTCTTTGGAGCTTGCCTGAGTATCTCCGTATAGCTTTAATCAACTTGATTTCTTCTCCTGTTAATTGGGAGCGTCTCATATTCGTGTTTAAATTCACAAAATATAACAAAGTTCCTAGTAGATTCCACCTTCAAGTGTTCAGGAGTGAAGAATGTAAGCACTATAAATATGTCTTTGTTGTCACCATATTTTCAACATCGAGTAACACCTGAAATTAATCACTGCTCAGTTATTATTTTTGAAGGGAGGAAGGAATTTTTATTAGCTCACATTTGCAAAATAAAATGGTGTTTATGTGCCTGTATGTGCCAGACATTGTTCTGAGCCTGTTGGCACAGCAGAGAAAAAAATTCACAAGCTTGCATTCTAGCGCATATGTGCCTGCATTCGTGTGCTTGTTCAAATTGTTCAGACATCCCGCAGGTCATGGCTACATGAAAGCTTTGGGGCCCCAAGGCTGTGCTAGAGGCAGGTCCAAAATATAATTGTTTGCAATTATATTGCAATTATTAATTTATTAATTATTAATTGCAATTATAGTGACTTGATTGCAATTATCACTGTGTGTTGAACAGAGAAAATTCTGGATGTGTTATTTGTAGTACATTTCAGTTTCCCTAAACATAATTTTGACCATTGTTTCTGACTGTTTGAAAAAGAACTGAAATAAGCATCTTTGGTTTGCAGTGTCTCTCCTCTTTTGAGAAATAGATTACATAATCAGGGTGGAGGATGTGACTGACAAATGTATAGGTACTTAAATTCATGCATATGGATCCACTTATAAATGCATCCTATAGAACACCCACAGTGTTGAACTCTATTAGCCTATTTCCTACAGACCTTTCAGATCTCATTGACCATGAAGCTATCAGGTACTTTTCTGCTTTTGGTCAGCCTGGCCTGCTTCTTCCTTTTCACAGGTGAGTTGTTCATTTCATGTATGTACATATGGAATTCTGGACCAGACTGTCAATGTCAGCAGTTACGATGGGATGTTTTTGTTGTTGACGATGAGGATGATGATGATGATGATGATAAAGTTGATTAATAATGGTGACTACCTGTCATACTTTTGATTTAGAAGGGACTTTAATGCACAAGTTAGCTACTATGATTTTCTCTTTAATACTTTACAAGAAATAGTTTTATCAAATTCTTTAAAAAAAAAAAAAGAAGAAGAAGAAGAAAAATCACATCCCATGAGCCAAGAAGTCTGTACTAATGGACCCCAGAGGGCTACTTTGGGAATCCTAAGCCAATTGTGTTCTCCTCAAAAGGCCACAATTAACAGCATAAGGTTACAAATAAGCTTCATTCTTCAGGGAGAATTTTATGTTAAAATTAGGAATCTCATCTAAAGTCAACCTTTTAAAAATTATTATCTAGTGATAATAGTGTTAGAATGTTCAAGACATTTTACAGAAAACTGAGTCATCCTTACCTCTAGATAAGCAAAAAGAAGAGATTCAGATCATTAGGGAGATGAGAGAGAGAAGAGAGAGAAAGGTGTGTGTAATATAGTGGAAAGCACCCAGGACTGGAATTCTAAGATTTTGCTTTTACATCTTCCTTTGTGTCTATCTCTTTCATTAAAACTGAACAAGTCACTTCCTTTCTCTAACTACTATTCATCACATGCTAATGATACATATAAAATTTATATGCTGTAAGTTTTCTGGGTTTGATTCCTGGCTCTACATTTACAAGGTGCCAAGTCACTGGACCCAAAGCTCAGGTTCCTTGACTTTAAAAATGGGATTGTATGACTTAACACATGCAAGATTTCATGCAGTACTTAAATATAGAAGTCCCCCAGTAGATGGTAGAATGGTGTCAGTGGCAATGGTGGTAAATCCTATGATTCTTTTTAGTGATTTCAAAATTATTTGTATTATCTTGTTTACCTGTTGCCTTGTCTATCTGTTTATCAAATGGCTTTGGTTTTGGAATCTTCAGTATCTTTCTAACATCTCTAAGGAGGTACATACTTACTAGAAAGATTCTGATGAGTGTGTCTTCATTTCTCCAAGTATAGCCTCATTGTAAGTCAAGCATTAGAGATGTGAGAAATATGTTTGTATAAAAGCCACACAGAAAGCAAACACAGTAAAGAGAGCTTTGTACTGATAGGTTACAATGTGGCCTCTCATTCAGTCATGAAGTTAACAAGCAGTGTGTCTTGGTGCAGGTTTTCTCTCTTCCTGGGTCTCAGTTCCTTTTTGTTGTTGTTGTTATTTTATTTTGTTTTTTATTGTTTTTTAAGTTATACATCATTGTAGGATTCATTTTGATATACTCATAAAAGCACAAAATATAATCAGTTCTTCATTCATAAAGCAAAAGAGAAGTAATGGAAGATCTCTGAGATTTATTTTAACTGTAAAATCCTGGAACTCTGATTCATTGTGATTTATCAGTGCCTGTTTTCTCTTTGCAGAGGCTGTGAGCCACAAGGGCTATCAGGTATGTGCTTCTCTCTCACACAAGTCCTTTCTTATCACAGGTCTTACACAAGGGTGACCCTAGATGGGGAAGCACTGTGGCTGCTACCCCTGATCTTCTGAGCTCACATGGCCAGCCTGGTGAGAAGTTGGGATGATAGTCCTGCCCAGGACACATGGTTTTCAACAGTATCACCACTGGTATAGATGCACATTCCTCAACAGAGGAAAAAGATTTGAAAATCACTTCCTGTTTTCTCCAAAGGGCCAGATAACACATTTACATGCAAGGATTTTACACTCAAAGCCTGTATAATCACAGTGTAATCTATAAAAGGGTGAGGCAAGTGGCATTTATTTTTCAAATCAGGATAATTTTGAGAGTGAAAATTGTACTTAGCATAATTATAGCAAGAAGGTCATCATAAACTGGGACCTTCTCTGGTAACCTAGAGGACGTAGTCACTCTAGATCTTAGTACCATGTGCATAAAAGTCAAAAATCAATGCTTGATAAATACACATTCCTGATCCCTACACGTAGGTTTTAGACATATGGACTAAATGGGATCTCTAAGGAAGGAAGGCTCATGAATCTGCATTTCAAAAAGTTCTCTGACGTTTTTTATATACATGAGAATTTGGGAATCACAGATCTAAATTTCTCTTAACAGATTTGAAAACAAAGTACATAGTTTCCAGATTCATATATATTGAAACCCCTCATAAAGCTTGTAATTAATAATAGACGAGAGGGTAATGAGGAGACTATGTTAATGAAAGTATAGTTTATATTTTTAAATTATATATGCCTATATATATATATATATATATATATATATATATATATTAAAAACATACTTCATGAAGAAATGTAGTTTATTTTTGAAAAAATGGACTTTGAAGAAAAGAATATTCAATTCTTATTCTAGCCCTGTTACTTAGTTAGTGTTTGATTTTTTAAGAACTTATTTTACCTTTATCTCCTCCATTTCTTTATCAAGAAAACTCAGCTATTAATAGCATTTAATTCATAATAAGCATATGAGCTAATGTACGCAAAGCCTATGGAGGAATGTTTAGTTTACAATAAATGTTAAAGAAAAGTAAATTATTATTAAACTGTAAATTTAATGGTTTCATCTAAATGGCCAAGTTATGTTTATTTTGCTTTTCTAATTGAATGTCAAATGTTTTAAATATGTACAGGAAGAAAAACAAATCTAACACTGTTTAAAAGATTAATTCATTCAATAAATGCTCTCTACAGTTCCACAGTGGCACTAGAGAACATTTTTTCCTAACACTTTATCTTTACATGAAGCTCTTACTTGTAAATTATAGATTTTTTCCTTTTATAAAGATAATATCCAAATTATTTTACCTAGCCCATCTATTGTCAATCTCCTTGTTCAACCTCATTCATTTGCTATTCAATGATGCCCTGAAGTTTAAACCACACTGCTAATATTGCTCATTCTGGAAGATATGTACCAACATTGTCTGCACCTCCATGGAAAAATGTGCTATTTTCTCACTTAGAAGGAACTTTTTAAACCTCTTTTCATGTGTCCTGCACCTATGGAAATGACCTAAGAAAAAAATAACTTCTATTTTGTAGTTGTCTCCAGCAATGAAGGATTGCTTTGCCATATGTATGTCTATTAAAATATTAATATTTTAAATTTAACATTTATCACTTTTGTTACACTTCATTGGTATTCTCTCTTAAAATGTGAGCTATTTAAAGTCAGAATTTTCTTTCATTTTTTAACCCTCATGCTTTTTAATCATAGCACTAACTCAACAAATACATTGCTGGATTGATGCATAGATGAATTTAAGGATGAATAAAGAATAAGTAAATGTTAGAGTATTCAAGAAAACTATCAGATGTGAAATGCAATATCACTTCCATTTTCTGAAAATTAGCCTGCTATAAAAATTTTGCTATATGTCTTTTATTATCTGCACAGGTACTACAAACATTGTTTAAAATATGTTGATGAAGAAATCTAAAATTGGCTGATTTTTTTAGCTTTATTTAAAAAAAAAAACTTGCCTTTGAGTCTTTTCTTTGAAGTAATTTGACTTATAAAAAAGGGGTAAAAATAGTTCAAACAATAGCATATATCCTTTACTCAGCTTCCTTAACTTTATATATAACCTTAATACAAGCACGAACATTAGGGAATTTATACTGATATGTAACAATTCACTTATTTATCATCTTGTTCAAATTCCCCCAAAGATCTAATTTAAGATAACATATGGTTATTTTTGTCTTTTCCAGATCCTTCCTTCTTTTTAAGGCAACAGCTACTTCCTTGAGGAAAAATTTAGCTGTAGGATTTCAATCAGAGCATTGATTATACTGCCTAACAAATTTAAAGTAGTGGCACTCAGTGGATACTCAGCATTTGCTGAGTAAATAGTGAATAAATTAACCTTATTTATTTATGGATTTATACAATAAAAATTAAGAGTGTTCTAAACAAAAAAGGAGCAGATAAGTATTTGGAAATTAAGTGATGTTTAAAAAGAGAGAATAAAACTACTATATATATATATATATATATATATATATATATATATATATATATATATATATATATATATATATATATATATATA